TGAAGTTTTTAAAAGGGAAGAGGAAAAATTCATTATAGGGTGAAAAGATGGCGAATCAGTAGTACGGCTGGAGGATTCATCATTAATAAATATACGAATAATAATATTTTTAGAGAGAGAGAATCAGATTTGAGATTTGTATTTATTTATAAGTATTTGTTAAAGTGTAAATGAATTTTGCGTCTGAGAGGGTTGGATTTTAGTTTCCCAATACCCAACACACACACCCACGTATCCCAATTTTTTTTTTCACTATTTTTCCAATTTTTAAAAATTATTATTTTTTCCGTTTCAAAATAATTGTTTTTCATACAAATTAAGAAAATACGTTAAAAAAATGTGTTGTCCCTAATTAATACAATGTTTTATTTGATATGAGTAATTAATAAGCTTAAAAGTAGAGATAAAAAWAAAAAAAATGGTAATAAATGTGCATTGAAATTACAGAATGATAAGTAATATAAAACAAAAAAATTGAGGTTAGAATGACAATTATTTTGAAACAGAGGAAATATTATCTTTTTCTTTTAGCTATAATCGCATCTACTTAATTTACTCAAGATCCATAAATTTGTGATCTTTTTAACCTAAGTTAAAGGAGAATCTCAAGTATGTTCTTATAGATATTAGGTTCACTGGTGAATAAGAGACTAACAAGTAGAAATGAATTCAGTTATGAAATGAGAAATTAAGAAGAAATATATTGGACAGAGGGATTCTTTCTCTATTGTTTTCAAATTTTTTTTACTATGTAATTTTCTATGATTTTTTTATCAAATATAAAACCGATAAAATTCAATATTTTTAAAAACTTTTTAAAACAATATCATTTAACTACTTTTGTACTGTTTTTATAACTAAAGAATCCCAATACGAATTTCGACGAATTTCTATATCACACCATTTCGACTGAAGTGGTTATAAAAGTGGTTGCATAGAAATTTGATTTAGGGAAAATATTTCACCTTAACTAAAAAAAATTGGGGTAATTACAAAAATGTCATTTTTTGTGTGCACATTTGCAAGAATGCCACTTAGCGGTGTTCATTTGCAAAAATGCCACTAATTATAGATTTATAAAGCCTATATCTTAAGATTCTAAACCCTAAAAAATGTTTTGACCCCTAAAACCCTCTAAACCCTCATAACTAAACCCTAATAGAACATATTAACCCAAACATAAATGATATAAAGAAAAAATAATTTTGAAAAAGTGACATTTTTGAAAGATTTCAAAAATATGGCATTTTTGTAAAGTGGCATGTTTTGAAATTTCTCAAAAAAATTCACCACAAAATCACCAAACTAACTGCAAAAACAAA